TGGGGCTGAGGCCACCATGGGGCTCAACGCTGATCAGTCTGATCCCCCGGCTGAAGCATAGGAACTCGGGCAGTCGTCTTCAGAATCTTGCGGTTCATCATGTGCTTAACTTTAGACTTGCCGCTTTCTGAGTTTTTTGCCTTGTTTTTTTGCTTCAGCTTGCCTTGTCGTACAGCAGTTTTATTTTTTTGCTTATGTACGTATTTCGGCAGCTGTTATTTTCCGCTTGTGGGCGGCTGCCGATACTGAATTATTGAACTTGTAGCTCAATTTTTGAGCATGAAATATTAATCTAATGCTCTTTTCTTCAGTTGCTTTATTTTTGAATGCTTTACTGTTTCTTTTCTTCAACTCTGCCGAACATAGCTGCACTGCGTGCTTCTTGCCCCCACAGAAATTGAAGTATGACTTTAGTTGAATAAGCAATTTCTGAACTTCTTCAAAATGGATATCCGAAACACAGGGCCAACTGAAGGCAATGCTTCTGGGATACTAGCTTTCTGGGACTAACCTCTTTAGAACAAGTCTTACTGAAATTTGACTTCAGCTGAAAGACCAGCGTTCTTAAAGAAGACGCATATCCGAAACACAGGGCCAACTTAAGGCAATGTTTCGGATAATGGCTCTCTGGGATACAAGGCTCAGTTAAGGCAATATCCCAGAATTGTCCATGGACTCATGTCTTTGGAGAACAGGTCTTACTGATGTTTGATTTCAGCTGAAAGACCAGTGTTCTTTAAAAAGACTGAGTTTTGTAAGCCATCTGAAACCCAGTTACCCGAAGGCGAAGGTTTCAGACGAGGCTGATTTAAAAATTTTCAACTGTTGCTGTTATCCTTGATTTTCTGTCTATCTTTGAAAAATGGATACCCGAAACACAGGGCCAACTTAAGGCAATGTTTCGGATAATGGCTCTCTGGGATACAAGGCTCAGTTAAGGCAATATCCCAGAATTGTCCATGGACTCATGTCTTTGGAGAACAAGTCTTACTGAAGTTTGACTTCAGCTGAAAGACCGGTGTTCTTTAAAAAGACAGGTTTTGTCAGCAATCTGAAACCCAGTTACCCGAAGGCGAAGGCTTCAGACGAGGCTGAATAAAAAACCCTCAAAGAGTAGATAGAACAAAGAAAATTTTGAAAGGATAAAAAGTTGTAAATATTTATATAAATGGCGGCTCCAAGGCCTTTCATTAGTTCAAAATGTACTTACAAAGATTGTTCTGCCCCGAAGGGTTTACACATGGTATTTTTTCAGTACATCAGCATTCCAGTGATTCTTCAACTCAGTTCCATCCAACTGCCGAAGTCGGTATGTCCCTGGCTGAAGCTCATCATGAATTTCATAAGGTCCCTCCCATGTAGCTGAGAGCTTCCCATGGATTCGGCCTTTCTGAACTGCAGCAGCATTCCGAAGGACAAGATCCCCAATTTTGAGAGGCCTTGCATGGACCCTTCGGTTATGGGAGATGAGGTCTGAACTTATCCCGGGCATATCAGCTGCCGAGAAAGCAAACACATCTCTGTTATCCCGCAGGAGCTGAATAAGTTCACAACGGGTGTTAGGATCAAGGTCCATCCCGATTGTTACACATTTCTCAGCATCTCCTTCGGCCAACTCTCCTGTTTCAGTCTGTTGGTCCATGTCCATTGCCGATGGACTGGACTCTTCAGAATCTGGTCTGCTGCCAATGTCAGCAGGTGTCCCAGTCTTTGTGTTCTTCGGCTGGCTCTCTGAGTCTTTCGGCTCAGATGAAGAGTCAACCTTTTCCCTTTCGGGACCTTTTTCTCTGGGCACGGATCCTTGGGCCGAAGCACTTAGGCCTTTCGGCTTTTTTGTGCTTGGCTCTCTTTCTTTTTCTTTCTCCTCCTCATCCTTGTCGTTATCTGGGCGACTACTGGATGGCTTGAGGTAGTTGCACCTTCGGGCGTCCTTTTGGTTGCCCTGTATCCTTTCGGGGAAGCCGGCGTCTGAGACATAAATCATCAGCTGATGATAAGTTGAGACGACCCCTTGGATCTCGTGAATTATGGGTCTCCCCAAAATCACGTTGTACACTGAAGGAGCGTCGATGACCAAAAACTCAATCATGACGTTCCGGGCTGCCTCATCGCAACCGATGGTGACAGGAAGTGTCACCTTCCCATCTGGATAAGTTGAAGCCCCATTGAACCCGGATACCGGATAGGGTACCGGCGTAAGGTGCTTGGGCTTCAGCTTAATTTGGTTGTAGGCCTTTCGGAACAGAATGTTTGCTCCGCTGCCACCGTCAACAAGGACCTTACTGACGTCGTGGTTGGCCACCGTGGCGATGATCACCAACGGATCCTCGTGAGGGAACGTAATCCCCCGGCAGTCGGCGGCTGTGAACGTCATGTTCGGCACCGGCGACTGGGGAGATTGAATGTCAGCGTTGTTCACCTGGTGAGTCAAAGCTCTAAGGTGACGCTTGTGCTCCCTCCGAGAGTATATTCCTCCCGAGATAACATTGATCGGAGGGAATTTCCCCTCCGGTTTTTTACTGTTTTTCCGGGGGAAATCAAGGTCCTGCCGAGGGTCCTTTGCTAGCCTCTCGGATTCTTTTTTCTCGCGGTGATCCGCGATGTATTTTTTCAAGTATCCCTTCCGGACCATGTCCTCTATCTGGTCCTTCAGCTGGATACACTCTTCAGTGTTGTGGCCCGAAGACTCGTGGAACTCACACCACTGATTTTTATTTTTTCGCTGATACCACTCTGGGAGTGGTCTCGGCTTTCGGTAACTCTGCTCCTCCTTCGTCACACTGTAAATTTTGGCGCGTGGAAGAGAGAGCGGAGTGTAGGACTCGTATCTGCCTGTGTATGAGGCAAACCTGTCCTTCTTTAGGTCGCTGGCCGAAGATGGCTCCGAGGCCTTTGATTTTCCCTTTGCCTTATGGCCTTGGCCTTCAGACAAGGGTATTTGCCTCTGTTTCCCTCCCCCGGATTGAGGTTGGGTTTTTGCTTTATTCCATTCTTCGGCTCGGATGAACTTATCCGAAGCACTAAGAGCTTCCTCCAAGGTCTGCGGGGTATGCATGACCATGAAGTCTAGGAATTTTCCTGGCTGAAGGCCATTCTGCATTGCAAAAACAGCTAGCCCCTGGTCCAGCTGAGAGACGCTTGATGACTCGTTACTGAAACGGGTCAGGTAGTCTCGGAGGCTTTCGGTTTCCCCCTGTTGCAGACCCATGAGCTCTGCGGTAGTCTTTTCTCGGCGGTTTGCCGTGGAAAACTTGCTCCTGAACTTGGAGGACAGATCATCCCAACCTGTTATGGAGCCTTGCCTTACTCCCTTGGAGATCCACGCTTGCGCGACCCCCTTGAGAGTGGTTGGGAAATATTTGCACCAAGTCGCCTCGGATCTGGGGCAAAGATGCATATGAGTCTCATACGAGGCCACGTGGTCCTTCGGATCCGTGGTCCCGTCATATGTGATATGCGACGGTATTTTAACCGTGGGTACGCGCTCTTCCAGTATCCATTGCTCGAATGGTGAACTAGCGGGAAGCATAATGGCCTTGCCCTTGTTCCTGGCCGAAGGGACCGCGCTCCGCCCTCTTAGAGAGGTAGAAGTGGTTTTCGTCCCTGGCTGGGAAGTCTGGGCCTCGGCTGCAGGGAACGAGAGGCGACTACGCACGCTCGGTTCCTGGCCGCCGAGTCGGTCAAGGACGCTTCTGCGAGCAGTCTCGGGTTCCCGGCGAGTAGATTCTGGCCGAGAAGCTGAGCTGCTGCTCTTATGCGCTGCTGGTCTTGAGGATGAGGATCCTTTAAATAATTGAGAGTTCTTCTTCCTCTGTTTTTCATTTTTCCAAGAATCCTCCTCCCACTCTTCCAGTTCCCGGAAGGAAGGAAGCTTCCCACCGTCATGGTCTAACTTCCTCCGCTGATGCCGGGTATGCGGAGGAGTTTGATCACGAGGCGGTGGCATATTCTGTGCCCTCATTGCCTCCATGAGTACTGCCAGCGCTCTTGCCACCTCTTCCGAACTGGGCCCCGTCAAAGGGGTCCCCGGCCGAGGGTGGTAATGAGGCCGTGCAGCCGATGGTTGGCTTTGGGACACTGAATATGTCCTATGATCAGACTGATCCCTGCTAGACCGAGAGTGGTCCGGCCTATATTGAGAGTCATGCATTATAGGAGATAGGGAATCCTCCTTGTGTGATCCTCCCCCCGAGCCGACACCCTTGGGAGAGTTCCGGTCCGGCGAGGGCGATGGTGTAGGGGTTTTAGGCTTTTCGCCCGCTCCTTGACGGAGGCTTTTGCTCTTGCGGTTCTTAGCCATGGCTGCTAAGATAATTGCAAGATGATCTTGGTTAGGAATTTGGCTTAAAGATTTTTGAAAGTCGTCCCCACAGACGGCGCCAAATTGTTTCGGTTGAAAACAATGGGACCTTGCCGAAGGTCCACTGAAATGGAGAAGACTGGATTCGATCCAAGTTGTGTTGGGCCGAAGGTTTCCTGCACAGTGAACACACGTAAACTAGCCTCGGGGGTGTTTCCGAGGAAGGCCCCTCCGATGCTAAAGTCAGTACAATGTGTAGAAGGAAGACACTATGCAAGAGAGTTTGTAGCTTGAGGCTTTTGTGGAATATTTCTGAATGCAAGAATGAGCATATGAATTGGAATGTCAATGATCATATGTGATGTCCCTTTGAATGTGTTAATATGATGGCTTTTATATCTCATCATACTTGGAGAGGTTGGGCTTTAGCCCAATTGGCTTACTTTGTGGGCTGACTTTTGACTTTTGAGCAATTGGAGAGTTGAACCTTGACCTTGGGCTTTTAATTGGATCATTTAGTGCTCAGGCCCAACTTTGACTAAATTGGACCCAAACATGTAATATCAAATTAACGTAACTAAGCTTGTATAATTAGATAATTACCATATATTATGTACGTGTCCTGCCAAGTTGGAATAGTAAAATCCTATTATTTAGGAAAGATTATTTTTTATAAACCATATATTATAATTGTTTTAATTAGAAGGGAATTAACAAAGGTTGTGACCCCTTGTTTGTTCTCTCTAAAGCATGAGAATGATCATCCTCTTTCTCTGATTGCCCTCCTCCTTATTCTCTCTTCTCCACTTAATCAAAAGTTTAAATTTTTATTAATGAGATAGAAATATAAGGAAAAGAAAATAGAACGAAGGAAAAGGAGGGAAAAAAGAAAAAAAAAAGAGAGAGAGAAAGTAGTAGAAATGGGAAGAGCTCCTTGTTGCTCTAAAATTGGCTTGCATAGAGGTCCATGGACTGCTAGGGAAGACGCGTTGCTAATCAAGTACATTGAAGCTCATGGTGAAGGACAATGGAGATCTTTGCCTAAGAAAGCCGGTAAGACGTACTACTTTCCGATGATTTGCTCATTCCATCTCTATACTTAAGTGAATATTGTGTTTTAGGTTGTGGTAGCTAGCTTAGTTAAACTTGTGAATTGATTATGCATGTTTGATTATTACTCCGTAATAAATACATTAAATGTTCATTCATTTCTATTTGGAAATTCTAGTTACTAAACTAGCTAGAAAGAAGTGATGTGAAGTGAATTAAGCACTTCTTAGGTAGATTACACTAAGTGATTCAATCAAGATTTAGACATTTAGGTCGCGTTAATAATATAATAATATACATACCTATCTCTAGATCGATTGACTGTCTTGGTAATTGAAGATTGATAATCTTTTGAATATAACTCTCTTTATCCTACAAAGTATTGTATACTACACATTATTGTAGCCTTTAATGATCATCTAAAATTAATCACAAGCTTTTTTCTCCAAGTAAACTTTTCTACTTTTACGTTTTTTCCCCTCATGTTCCTACAATAACTATTTCAGTTCTCTCCCACCCCACACTTTTGCTTAAATTAATTTCCACTGTCAATTCATTATTAAATTCATCATCTCCGTGTCGAACATAAGTGTACACAATAATATAGGATGTCAATAAAAGTACAAGTTTTTTTTTAAAAAACTTTTCTTTTACTCCTAACCACCTCTTTCTTTCACTGTCTTCAGCTGAAAAATGTGATGTATAATTGTATATACTAAGTAAAATCATAAACTTCCCATCAATATAATTATTTTGATTAATCTACTATACCTTGAGCTAAATCCCCCTTTTTTTTTCCCCCCTATATAATGTTGATAGTGATTGATGAGCTGACAAATTATGCTTATTTACAATAAATGTAGGACTTCTAAGGTGTGGAAAGAGTTGTAGATTGAGATGGATGAACTACTTGAGGCCAGATATCAAAAGAGGCAATATTACACCCGAAGAAGATGACCTTATTATTAGGTTACATGCCTTATTAGGCAACCGATGGTCTCTCATTGCTGGAAGATTACCTGGTAGAACCGATAATGAAATAAAAAATTATTGGAACACCCACTTAAGTAAGAAACTTCGGAGCCAAGGTACTGATCCGAATACCCATAAGAAGTTATCTGAATCCGATTTGGAAAAACTAGCTAAGAATTACAACAAAAAGAGATGTAGGAGCTCAATTACAAACAATAATAAACATACTAATAATAATGGAAGTGTCAAAACTCAAAAAATTGATGAAGTAGTTGAGGAAAAAACCAAGATCCATTTACCCAAACCCGTTAGGGTTAAATCCGTTATCTCAATGACAAGAAATGATAGCAATACAAGTTTAGAAACAATCAATGTGAGTACGACAAGTGTCTCTTCTAGTCAAAATAATCAAACCCTTGACCAAAATTATGCCCTACCAACATATGACTCGGAAGATAATATCATTCTAAATATTCCATGGCTAGAACATCATACAAATATGGAAGGCAGTGGGCTTGATGATCATCTGATGATGGCGATCGGATCATCATCGTGTGGTAATCACGATGTCGGAATCGATATCATGCAGCCTAATAATGAAGTAATGGCAGCACCGGATAACAACCAACAGCTTGAGAAGCTCTATGAGGAGTACCTACAACTTATTAAGGTTGATCATGATCATCATCATTATCACGATGGCGATCGCGATGGAGGCCATGATGGTGATGTTGATGGTGAGCTAGATTCCTTCACTGAATCTTTTCTCATTTAATTCGAGATGTATACATGATTGTGAAAGGGAAGGAGAGATTATTAATAAAGATAGTGGACATTTTTTAAAAATATGCTGCATGGAATTGAATTTTTTTAAAAAACGATTGCATTCATTTTGCAATTTATGTATTACTATTGCTAATGAAAGGTAACAGTATAATAATAATATGAGTAGAGAGTACAATATTATCAATGTTCGTTGTTTTCTATTTTTCCCTAGATCAATAATAAAAAAAGTTAACATGTAAGATGACTAAATTATATTGACAATCATTAAATATATGCAGTATGAGTAATTGGAGTATATATAAGGCGGCAGTAAGTAAGTATGTACGATTTTTAATTTATTGAGACTTCGAGTTTGATTCAAGCTCAATATATATGACATTATGACATACTTCCTTCATCTCAAAATATTCTGATTAGCGCACATATTTAATTCAGGCTAATCATACATGTTAGCTAAACTGGTTGAGATAGATAAAAGCAAACTACTTTTTCAATAAATTTCAAAAGTAAAAGTGCGTAACAAAGATTCCTTGTATTTAATCATGAAGTAGGAAACATAAAAGCAGCACAAGCAAAGGTAAAAAAGTGTAGTGAAAGTTGGTAGATAAGGTTGGTGAAAAACAAAAATCCCCTAAAACATACGGTTGACTAATATCTAGACCATCTTATTTAATTTCTTTGATGTTGAAACAGAGATTATAGCTTTTAGTAATTTTGCAGCGTACTTGGATTGAAATAATTTCCACGAGGTACTATAAAGTTAGGTGAGATCACAAACACCATTCAGGCATTGACTAAAAGAAGCTTAGCAGGTTCATTGTTCGGCTATGTGTAGGACTCGTATTTTTATTTATTTCAGATTTAATATTAGAAAAAATAAATTTTGACATATTTTATCATTTTATGTGTTTTTTTTTTTTTTTACCATATAATATTTTTAATTGAATATTACCCAATAATAAAATACACATCATTTGACGGATTCCTCACCATTCTGATTCTGATGCCTTTTTTTTATGGCAATTAATTTGGATGCCTTGTTACATAAATACCATCTCTATAATGATGTACTCATTGTATTAATTGTACTTTTATAGTACTCTGTGTTAGAGTTGTCAATTTTAAGAGTGTATTTCCTTTATCTAAGTTTTACTAATCAGAATTTGTAAAACCTTAATGAAATTTGGTAGAAAGCTTAACCCTCACTAGATTGTATCAAAGCTACTCATATTTAATTGAATTGTCTGAAAACTGTTGTCATAATTATTGAGTAATGTACTTCTGTTTTTTTTTCACTTGACCTATTTCTTTTATCGTGTTTGTCAATGCAAAACTTTAACGATCAATAACTTTAATTTTCCATAAGTAAAAATTATAAAATTAATTTATTATAATAGCACTTATTGAGACGAATTCAAAAATATTCCACATGAATATATTTTTCCTTGAAAGTAATACAGTATCATTACTTTCCGAACATAACTCCTTTATAAAGGAGTGATGAAATGAGACGGACGAAATTATTGCCTATATGAACAGCAACGCCAAAAACTAAACGTCTATTCTTCCAAGTACTTCGTATTATTTGTTTGGTCGTCAAACCAAAAATCGAATTTATCATAAAACAGAAAGGTATCGGATAGGCCGCATAACCATATACACGTGCCCTCCATATTATCATACGCAAAACTCCGTAATTCAGCCTAGTACCAAAAAAATGCATGCCAAATTAATCTGCACAGAAATTTCAAAAAGAGAAAAAAGTAGGAAAGGGATGAAAGAGAAATAGAGAAATACGGAGTAGCAAGAAATATTGATATTAGCATACTCGTATTACGGAGTACTAATTAATGTACTCCATATACGTAAAAGAGAGCCTGCAAATTTTCCTTCTCCCCAAAATGTGCAGCTTAAATTTTTGCCTTGTATGAACTAGATCTAAGTTCCTTAGTCATACAAGTTTAACCCACTCACGAGAACCCAATTACTGTACAAAATATGCCTATTTGCCCTATTACCGGAATTTCTCGGCTTCCATATCAAAATCAGTTCACAAAAGGCAAATTATCTTAAGTCATGCATAATTCAAGCCAAGTACTTGAATAGCTGAGGATTTTCCTTGTCTCGTTCAAGGTAGTCCCTAGTAATCAAATCTTCGATCCTCTTCTTGATTACCTTAAAATCAGGCTGCAAGGAAAACAACCATCAGCGAAAGACAAAACTCATTTAAAATTTACAAATAACCACATACAATTTAACTCAAGACTCCACCAGCAGCAGTAATATGTCATACCTTGAAACTGCGGCTTAGATGCTCAACACACTCTGAGATCAATTGCTGATAACCCAACACCTTCCTGCTTTTCATTATACGTACAATAGAGGCATCAATAGCATAACGTCTATCCTTGTCCACATCCTCGACAATTTTTTTCCTCTCGTCCATTGTTGGAAGAGGAATCTGTATATCCAACAAGTACAGGGAGAAAATTGAGCATTTGTTTGAGAGAATATCAGGAAAATTTCAATGAAGAATAAAGAACGTAAACAAGAGCATACCCTTATCCTCCTCATTCTGTCAGTAAAGCCAGAGTTGAATGTGAATTGATCGGTATGAGATACAGTTCTTGACACTGGCTCCTTGGTAAGAACCTTGTACTTTGCACACGACAATGACTGTAGTACTCTGACCAAGTCTTCATCACCTAAATTTAACTGAGCTGCAATTTCTGAATAACTCAAGCGATCTGCTGTGTTGAATAGAAGGAGAGCAGCAGCCTAAATAGAGATACATTTAGCATAAACTATTAACTTGATAGGATACACAGAGAATTAAAAAAATAAAAATAGCAGAACATTCTCTCTTACTTGATAGGTTCCAACAACCAATTCAATTGTTTTCTGACCAAACTTGCCATGAATGTTGCAACTTCCCAGAGAGTAAACCCACGAGAGCTTCCTGTGTTTTGTTTTCGTTTGATAGAATTGCTTAAAAGCTTCCACACACCTTACCTACAAGTACAAGCAAATAATAAGTTTATTATAATCTAATGAGAAAATTAACAAGCTAGCATCAATTACTCGTATAATTTGGTGATGCACCAATTACCATCTCATCAGGAAGGTTAAGATCAGAGGATTTATAGCTTGGCCAGAATCCAGTTGTGAGAACTGTCACATTCAAATCAAGCCCAGGATTGGCAATTGGGTTTTGCTCAAGATAGTCTTCAAAATGAGTCTGATTCTCCCTCCCCAAAGTCAAATCAGTTACCTGAAATGGAAAAGGCAGAGGAAGATAAAGAACAATACCCCACTAATTTACAACGGTTTAATTCAGATGTACAAAACAACTCACCATCCCTTCCATCTTTGATGTAAACTGTGCACCACACTGCTGCTTCAATTTTGTTAAGATGCTCCTTTCATGATCATCATGGGCACTCTTGTCAAAGAGTAAACGGCGAGAGAGCTTCTTTCTGTATCAAGAAAGAAACATGAAACATTATCAGACTTTTCAGTCAGAGAACAACTCTAACAGGAAAAGAGAAAGGAGAGAAAAGCTAACCTGTAAAATTCAGCAAACATGTCTTTATCGCTTACATAAGCAAGAAGCTTTACTACCTGCAAACATTAAAAACAATTACTTAATCATCAGCATCTTGAGCAGCGCAGAACTAAAATTTATAATTAGCAGCCTTATACCTTGTCAAGTGAGTCCTCAATAGCTTCATCACTTAGCTTTTCACTGCCACCCTTTTTGAGAATATTATCACAAAATGTTGCTAACAGTTCAGCACTAGTACTGCCAGCAACACCCTTGTTTAAAAATACCTCAAAAGCTTCCTTGAGAGCCTGAACAAAACCAAAAGGAAAACTTAAGCCACAGGACCAGGTAGCACAATCCATTGATAAAAAAAAAAAAAAAAAAAAAAAAAAAAAAAAAAAAAAAAGCACTATGCAAACCTTATGAAAGATGGTGTGGCTCATAAAGCACTCGATCACATAAACCATGAACTTATCGTGTAGCTCTATAGCTTTCCTCACAAAAACCTGACACGTGCAAACAAGATTGAGTTTTAATCCAAGTATCCATCATTCCATCCACTAATCAGGTATGAAGCTATAGGTTATGGGACCTACCTGCTCATGTGATCCACCAGAACCAGTCTCAGCCTGCCAAGCAAGCAATTTAAAGGGAGGACAATCAATATAACAAAGCATTTAACCCATCAACATAGTCCATAAAAGCAACTAATCACTTAATAATAATCCAACAATTCTAGCTAAAGCAATTAAGTCGGAGAGTAACACTAAGCTAAATCCTGGCCATAACGATTAACGAATAGTCAAAACAAGAATCAACCAGCCATAAGGTATTTAATCATAAATATAGCACATCAAAGATAACCAAAGACATTAACCTTTCAGAATGCATAAAACACATAAATGAAAGCTACTCGAGCAACAAGGGGATACAGCAAGAGTGGCACATGGGTCTTCTTACTTTGACAATTTGCATTGGGACGCTCTTTAAATAGGGTATCAATGTGTGTGCACGTGTGTGTGAGAGAGATAAAGAAACCACTGTTCATTTAATCAAAGAAAGGTGAACAGATCAACGCAAGCCAAAAAGGCAGCCTGAAGGAAAGGAATCTCGTATTATACCACCTTGCACACAAACTAGAAGTTGTGTTAAAAGAACATATATTAGTATTAACAAAACTAGCTAGCTTTTCTCTAGCTTAAGGAATCAACCATCATAAATTCTCATATGACACCAAAGGTTTTTTTAATACTGTTACAAAAATGCTTCAAATGATGATCATAAAAAGTGCCAAACCTTGCTAGTCGCAGCATCTTCTGCCTGCTGGACCAAGACAGTTCCTTCATCTGTAATATGCTGCAGGAAAGCATGTCGCACATCAAAAACCAACATGGAGTAACATGTACGTTACCATTAAACACGGGAAGTGGGATGTGAACATACCGTCTTAAAGATGACTCCAATAGGCTCCAAACCCCGTGGAACTTTACTGTATAGCCTGTACATCCTGGAAAGATCCTCCACCTAACCAAATAAGACCACAAGAGTGATACTCTTTATTTTGATAAGAAAGATAGTTTTATAAGCAATATGAGCAATATAAACAAAAATACCTTGTCA